ATATATATATATACACACACACACACACAACCCTATGTTGCTTTGTGAAGCAAAGTTGTGTTAGGGTTTCTGTTACTGTGAAGTGACACCATGACCTTGGCAACTCTTATGAAGAAAAGCATTTAATGGGGTGGCTTACATTTCAGAGGTTTAGTTTATTATCATCATGGTGGGACATGATGGCGTGCAGGCAGACATAGTGGTGGAGGAGCTCAGAGTTCTACATCTTGACTCCCAAGTGACAGGAAGTGGTCTGAGACACTGGGCAGTGTCTTCAGCATATATAAGACCTCAAAGTCTTCTTCCACAGTGATACACTTCCTCCAACAAGACCTCGCCTACTCCAATAAGGCCACACCTCCTAATAGTGCCACTTCCATTGAGGGGCATTTTCTTTCAAGCCACCACATTGGTCTTGAGGTGAATCTCAGGCTGGCTATCTGCCCAACTGTGTCTTCTTGGTGCCGGAGTTATAGGCAGGTGCCACCACATCCAATTCCTTCTGGTTTCAGACATTTATCTTATTTTTAATGCATGTGCATTTCATATATTTGTGGGTGCCTGCAGAGACTACAAGAGGTCATCAAATACTCTGGAGTTACAGGTGTTTGTGAGCTGCTTAATGTGGGTGCTGGGAACCGAACTCCTGTCCTCTGTAAAAGCAGCCAGTGCTCTTAACCACTGAGACCCCTCTCCCGTGTCCAACCATTTTTATTTTTAATCATAGACTATTTTGACACACAGGAAAGGGAAAACAATTAACAGGCATATATGCATCCATCATTAAATCACTTTTGGGGTCATATTTATTTCAGTCCTATCTTTTAGAAAAGAAAATCAATGAAACTCAACAAATAGACTGAAGTTGAAGCCAGGATTTATCTGCCCCACATGTTCTGTGTTATCATTTTCCAGTTATTCATTCCAAATCTCAGATCCTGTTGCAACATGTGCTTCTGAGGTTTTCATAAATGAGATGACACCATGTGTGTCCTGCTGTCATTCACTTCTCCCCCTGGATGATATTTGGAAGACTCACTCACGCTGACTCATGTGGATCTGGTTACTCGTGTTAACCAAGGTAGATTATTTCATTGTACTTGTTAAGCAGTTTGTTTTCCTGATCTCCTGCTGAGAAGCTGTCTGCTTGCCTCTGCTTATCAGTTACATGTTAGGCTGGGATGGACACGTGTGCCTTTGCATGTGAGTGAAAAGACTGCGGCTGTGGCGGGGAGTGTAATTTAGCTGTAGACAGCTTGCCTAGCATCCTTAGGGGGAGCAGATTAATTCACAACACTGTCCCCCAAAGCCCCAAAGCCTCACTGGGTGTCTTTTTGTCTGTAGGTGGCTTTGTCCCTCAGCTGCTGTGAGAGTTGGGTGATAAGGGCTCACAGCTGCCCCTTGTGAATTTGTGGGTGGTCCACAGCTTGTGACTAACATGAAGGTACAGAGAGATAAGCTAAAGGGTCATTAATGCTCCAGTACCCCATTGGATCACATTAATGCTAATGTTGCAAGAACACTGCCCTGTCCTGCTGTCCCCTCATGAATCATCTGTGCAGGACTCTCCATCCCAGGTCCTGCTGAGGGGCCAGAAGCTATGACAGCACACATTCATAATGGTATTGGCCAAAACATACATCTGGATTTACTAAATGTTTCTGAGTTGGTTGTAGTGGGTGGTCCATACCCATATCCTAGCACTTTGGAGGTGGAGGCAGGAGGATCAAAAGTTCAAGGTCATCCTCTAACACACAATGAATTCAAGTCCAGCCTGGGCTACAGGAGACCTTGTCTTAAGACAAACAACAATGAAATATTCCTAAGCATTTTCAAATTGACTCTGCAGAGTAGCATGCCAACTTGCATCTCCTCATAGTGTCCCAATTTGTATTCCACTAGCAGTCTATAAACAGAGCCGTTTCCCCCACTCCATCCATAGCTGTTATTAAGCAGATACTACACTCAGATTGATGTAGTCTGTGGCCTCATTATTGTTCTACTTTGCATTTCTGTGTTTATTGGTTCAAAATCTTTGTAATATCTTTATTGGCTATTCATATTTCTTCTTATTATCTGTCCATCTCTGGCCCATATTCCTATTTCTGGGGGTGGGGCAGGATTGGTGAAATTATTTCAAGGTTTTGTTATTATTGCTATTGTTTATTTTTCACTTTCATGGTATTAGAGATGGAGCCCAAGGCCTCATGCCAAGCACTACCTTGGTGCTACCTCATAAGTCCTTTGGATTATAAAAGGGTTCCCATATACATACTTATTCATGTATGTATGTGACATGTGTGCAATATGCCACAGTGCACATATAGAAGTCAAAGAACAACTTTTGGGGATTTAATCCTGGGGATTAAACTCAGGTTGTCAGGCTTAGTGGTAGGTTTCATAACCCACTGAGAAGTCTCACCACCCTCTGGATTAAAAAAAAAAAAAACAAAAACCACACATTAATTAGTTTGGAAATAAATTCTGTTTTGGCTACACATAGTTTATAGCTTGGGGAAAAAAACCAAACTGTTCTTCTTGGGCTGGGAATATATCTTAATGGTAAAGAGTTTGCCTAGCATCATGCCCAAGGCTCTGAGTTCAATTCCTAGTACCACAAAACCCATTATTTTTATTAGTATATTGATATAAACTCTTGCTGGGAAGCTCAAACTGGCCTTCACTCACGATGTAGCCCAGGCTGGCCTTGGGCTTGAGAGCCTCCTACTTCTGCCTCCCACGTGCTGGGATAACAGATACACCCCTCTCAAGCTATTTTTTAAATTTTCCAGTAGAAGTTCTTGTGTTTAGTGATCACGCCTCATCATATTTTCCTTCATTATTTATTCTTTTTATGCCTTGTCGATATTTCTTCTCTAGCTGTTTTCTTTTGAAAAAGAAAATTATAAAAAGATTTACTTATGAATACAGTGTTCTGCCTGCATGCATGCCTACAGGCCAGAAGAGGGCACCAGATCTCACTATAGATGGCTGTGAGCCACCATGTGGTTGTTGGGAACTGAACTGAGGACCTTGGGAAGAGCAGCCAGTGCCCTTAATCACTGTGTCATCTTTCCAGCCCCCCTTTTTTTTTGAAAATTTTATTAGCTTTCTTTATACATTTAAGACTACAGTCACCCTGGACCTTATTTTGTGACTAGTGTGAGTTGGGGTCCATTTTGCCTTTTCTGCCATGCTCAGTTGACCCAACATCATCCTTAAATGGGACCCGGCTTTGCCTTTGCCATGGTCAAACTCTCACATGTATCAGGCTCGGTTCAGAGGCAGATTCTTGTGGTGATATATTATTTATGATTTAATAAAGCTTGCCTGAAGGATCAGAATGCAAAGCTAGCCACAGCCATAGAAGCCAGGCAGTGGTGGCACACACCTTTAATCCCAGGACTCAGGAGACAAAGGCAGATGGATCTCTATGAGTTCAAGACCACCCAAGGCTACATGAGAGTGAATCAGTCTAAAAGAGCTCACACCAGAACGAGAGAGGTATATAAGTCAGTCTTAGGCAAAATCTCGAGTCATGCTGAAGAGAGGATTGCAGTCTGAGGTTTGGTGGAGGCATTACATGGAGACAGGATCACCCATTTTCAGTCTGAGGTAGAGGTAAGAGCTAGTGATTGGCTGCTTTTCTTCTCTGATCTTCAGCTTTGACACCATGTCTGTCTTTGGATTTTTTAAATTCATGCTACAGATTCTCTATTATTGTCATATGTTGGTCTCTGGCTGGGACTAAATCAAACTCTCCCATTAGCACTTCAAGACGGTTACCAACACTGCTGGGGTGAGTTTCCTTGCCCTTCCTACGGTTCCTTTTCAAAACCATGTTGGCCCTTCTGGGTTCTTTCGTACTCCATACTTACCTTGGGCTGACCTTGTCATATAGCAGGGACAATGCTGGTGAATCTTTTATTCAAAGTGCAAGAGGCAGCATAGAACGGAGGGGGACACAATCAACTCTGCCTCGGCAAGCTCCCCCCTCTTTTCCTCTGCATTCCACGACTCCTACCAAGAGCTCCCCAGAAAATCAACACCCAGCTCTTCTTGTCATTTAATGGCAGATGAAATGCTTCTTTCTGTAGAAAGCCCTTGGTGACAGTCCCAGGCGACCTTCTCTCTGGCTTCCTCTAAGCCCTTTGTACCCATTTCTGGGATTTTCAGCATGCTGGATGTTCTACAAAACTCCACTCAGCTTCACGGCCCACGTGCGGCTCAGTAGAGCCTGATGACCGGTGTGTAAGGATGAAGTCTGGGCCTTTTCTTTCCAGAGAACAGCAGGAGCCACAGGGAGGGGCCTGAGGCTAAGGTTGGAGTTTCCATCAGGTATGGTTTCACAGGAGGCTCTTGCTGCACGGGACACAGGTCCCTCCGAGTATGTTTGCTCTCTGATGACTCCTCTGTTCTCACTTTCTCAGTCTCAGGGAGCTAAAGAGTGAGGACTCCCCCAACCCAGTTGGAGACTTTCTTTATCTCTATGAACATGGAAGCATCTTCCCCAAACACCCATGCCATTGGCTCAAATGGACCGCCTTGAGTACCGCTGTTCCCGTGTCCTGTCCTGTCCAGGCACTGATGCCCATTGACTCACGTTGCCCTCCTGTTGTTACATCCTCAGTTGCTCCTTGCCTTGCCTTAAAGTCCCAGCAAGTTGGTCCCAGGGACCTTTTCTACCTCTCATCTTTCTCCAATAGGGGACGTGTTTCTTACCTACAAGGAGTCTAGCAAGGATATTGAATAGCTGTGAGGATTGGGGCTGAACCCCAATTGCAGCCTTGACGTCAGAACTTGGCCTAGGGAAGGAATGCATCTCATTGTGTGGGGGCTTCAGTTCATAGGCACCCCAGTCTTGACTGAGCAGGTCATTCTCTCTAATACCAGTTTCTCTTGGGATAGAGGGCTGGGAGGGATCTTGGTGCAAAATACACTTTTCTGATGCCCTGGTGGAAGCAGGAATGGGGTGGAAAATAACAAACAGAATGCACAGGCAAAGATGAGACAGAATTTATTCTCATCACAGGTAATTTCCAGACAGGATGGGAGCCACAGAGAGGCCCCAAGAGCCCCAAGGGGGACCCACCTCAGAGGCCTTGCCTGAGGATCCCAAGCCCAGACACTGGGTGAGTGGGGTGGGGTGGAAGACTGGGTGTCCCCCCCACCTCGTGTCCTGACCGTGTTTCCCACTTCCATAGGAAGGAAGGGCAGCTCGGCTACATAGTACTATAATATATAGAAGCGCAGGAGCTGGCCGCGGCACCTGGGTGGGGCTGAGGCCCCTGAATTATTGCAGGAGGGAAGGGTCTCAGTGCTGGTGTCTCGCGGGGTGCTGTGCTGGCTGTGGGCAGGGCTGGGCAGGGGAGGGGGCCACCCTTTCCTCTGGGCTGGGCTCCTTGGGCCCTGCCTCCCCCAGGGTGGGGCTTTCTCACCCGGGGTGCTTTTTATGTGCTTTGAAGACCATTTTTGCATTGTCAGGAGTGAGAAAAAAAATATTCTGACATGGTAGAAAAAAAGATATTTACATACCCTGGTGGGCCGTTAACAGGAGCTGTTAGCCTGTGGGTGATGGGCTTGCCAGACCCCTCCCATCCTAACAGACCATGGCTGGGAGGAAAGGCGCCCAACTCTAGAATTTGGTTGTCATGTGACCTCAGACAAGGAATCCCCATCTCTGAGCATCCCTATCTGGTATAGGAAGGGGAGGGATTGGGGCTTAGAATCTGCCCCATGCTCCTGTTCCCAGCATGGGCAGGGGTGGCAGGGATGGGCAGTGAGAAATTGGGAAGAGGTACCACGGCCATGAGAGCAGATGGCCAGGCAGCCAAGCCCCTGTGAGGGCATCTCACTCTGCTGTGACCCTCTATGGGAGGTGGCCAGAGGGAGTGGCCAGGAACCCTGTTTTCCTGTTGAGCAGCAGGAGGAGCCAGGCAGAAGCTGAAGGTGGCTCCCCCAAATAGGAAGGAGGCCCGGACCTGAGATACAGCCATGGTGGGCTCACCCAGGCTGGACAGTGGGCCTGGTGCTGGTGTGATTCAGAAGCAGCCTGGGCTCCAGCCTCCAGGCACTGGGGGAGTAGGTGTGAGCCTCTGCCTGGTCCCCACAGGTACTGGGGGCTGGGCAGTGTCAGCTCAGATTCCTTGCTCACACTATCGTGCCTCCCCATTCATGATGTGTTATATGTGGTCATACATATGTGACTCCTGCCCTAGTGGATAAGCACGTACGTGGTAACCTGCACACATCTGTGCTGGGGCCTGACTGGGAACAAAGACATGATCCCACATTGTTTCTATCAGCTGCCAGGACCTTGTGAGAGCACACCCTTACCATCACCTACATGCACGCACATACAGGTAGGTGAGTGATGTCACTGTTGGATTCTGGTGTTGGAGACCCCAGGCTCTAGATGGCACAAGGTCCTGTGCCTCCAGAGGGCAGGTGTTCTATCCACCTGAAGCACCAACAACCTTGTCCCAGGGGCCTGACTCCTGTAACTGTAGGTCCTGTGGCAGAACTCAGGAGCTACCCTAACTACTGGGTGGCTCTGTGAAGCCCCTGAAAGCTGCTATGACCAGGGTCAGGGGTCCATGAATCAGAGGTGCCGGCGGGGCCCCTGAGTGCTGCTCAGCTGGGCCCTCATGGTCTGGATGCTTCCAAGGATCTTCTTCTGGTGGCCCATGAGGGTGATGCCAAGGGCACGCACATCCCTGAGAAGGAAGTGAGGTCCACTGGTTTGGCCTTAGGAGTCTGGGAGCTGGGAAGAGAGCCCACTGCCCACCCCTGAACTGCTGTGGAATTGTCTCTGGCCCTGCACCCTCTTACCCGCCCTGTCACTCACTGGGCATTCATGCGAAGCACCATGCCAAGAGAGGAGTACCCGCCGGCAGCAAAGTGGTCCCGGTACCGGCCCATCCGGATGGAGTCCAACCAATCCCCCACAGTGAGGTCCCCACTGCCACTTCCGCCCCCTCGGAGGTCAAAGCAGCTCCTGGCAAAGGCAGGGGGTGGGCACCTGGGAGTAGAGGGTCCAGTGAGTATTCTGTCAAGGCTCTGGCCTTAGCCAGGATCGTGGGCACCAGGCACCCTCTCCCTCCACCCCAGCCCTACAGAAAGAAAAGGATTTGCAAAGCTGGACTCTGGGAAGAAGGCAGTAGGGCTGGTGCAGGGCTCAGGTACCTGCTGACTGTGGCTGTGGCCCTAAGGTTCTCGGGGCTGTGGATCAGGGCGTCAAGAACGCTCACGACATGAGAGAAGCGAGGTCGCTGGGCATGGTCCTTGTGCCAGCAGTCCAGCATAAGTTGGTGCAGGGCGCGTGGGCAGCCCATGGGCGCTGGCAGCCTGTAACCCTCTTCCACTGAGCTGATGACCTGGGTGGAGGCACAGTGCTGGGCTCAGGCTGGGTTCCCTGTTGAGACCTCACCACTGTACCCCTATCCTGGGCCCTAGACTCACATCCTGGTTGGTCATGTTCCAGTAGGGCCGTTCACCATAGGCCAGTACCTCCCACATGACCACGCCAAAACTCCACACATCACTGGCTGAGGAGAAAGTGCGGAAGGCAATGGCCTCGGGCGCTGTCCATCGAATGGGGATCTTCCCTCCCTGGGATAGATATGACAATGTTGAGGGACCAGGGGCTGGGCTTGTCTTCTAGCCCAAGGCAGAGTCCTGCTTCCCAGCCCACCAACCAAGAGCGCCTGTTTTAGCAGAGCCCATGTCCCTGAGCCACTAGAAAGCTAAGCAAGACTAAAGCCCCCTGAAACACATTGTGTGTTCCAAGGAACACATTAGAACATGACTGCCCTCCATGCTTTAGAGACAATTATAAAGCTTTGCTTATACCCCGCTCCCCTGCTCACAAGAGGGTGTTGGAAACGCACCGCAGTGGTGTAGGCAGCTTCGGGGTCATCCTCCAGAGCCCTCGAGAGCCCAAAGTCTGACACTTTGCACACCAGATGGCCATCTACTAGGACATTGCGAGCGGCCAGGTCACGGTGAATGTAGCCCAGGTCTGAGAGGTAGCGCATGCCAGCGCCCACCCCTCTAAGCATGCCCACCAGCTGCACGATGGTGAACTGCCCATCATGGGTCTGCAAGGGGACACAGAGTGGTGTGGGCTTTTGGGATAGTCCTTGGCTCAGGGCTGGGGAATATCCCATAATTCCCTAGAGACCAGAGATGACTCTGCAGTGGGCAAAGTGAAGTGTCTGGCTGCTTACACTGGCTCCTGGAGGTGTCTCCTCTGGGAAAATGGAGGCAAAGGTTACACGTTCCAGGTCTGGCAGCCCCCCCCAGTGAGTACCTAGCAGTGGGGGCTGGAAATGTAGCCACTCCCTTCCAGCTGGTGGTGCAGGTGGCAGGGGACACATCTTCCCTTAGCTCGGGATAGGGCGGTAGGGGCCCTTGCAACAGTGGGACCTTCATGGTAGGGAGCCAGAAAGCAGTTTGATCACCTGGCCCTTAAGATTCCCCTCACACCTGCCTCTTCCCCATGTATGTGAGATGCAAGCTTGGGTGGGTGGAAGGTATTGCTTACAAATAGACAGCAAGTGAACACACACACCCCTGTGTGGGTAGCAGTGATGGATGTGCACCCTTCCCCCAAGTGCGGACAGACATACCCTGAGGAAGGCATCCAGAGAGCCGTTCTCCATGTACTCCGTCACGATCATCGCCAGGCGGCCTGGACAGGAGAGGGGAGATGGAGGCCTGGTATGTGTGGGCAGGGCCAGGGCTGCTGATCAGGGACCCCAAGAACATATGCCCACCCAGGAGGTGGTCAGGACAGTTTTAGGGTCTGGCTAGGGTCCTGGGCTCTGAGCACTTCAGGGTCATCTTAGGGACCTGAGATATTGGGACAGAGTCGGGATGGCCCAGCAGATAGGCCTGACCCCTCTCTTAGTAGGAGTGTCCCACAAGGTGAAGCTGCCCTTGTCTGGCACCTACCACGGGTGACAACACCCTCAAGGCGGATGATGTTAGGGTGGTCAAACTGGCCCATGATGGCTGCCTCACTCAAGAAGTCTTGTCGCTGTCTCTCTGTGTACCCGGCTTTGAGGGCCTTGATAGCCACAGGCATGTCCCGCTGGCCTGGCACCTGCAGCCGCCCGTAGCATACTTCTCCAGATTCTCCTGTGGGGCCCAGAAGGAGCAGGCAGCCATGGATCCCGGCTTCTACTCAGGCCTCTTCGTTCCAAGTCTCCAGCACCAGGTGCTGCAGGGTTCCCATTCTCTACCCTCTGGCCATGGGTCCCCTCCTGTGCCACCCCTCCCTCCCAGCCTCTGGGGCTCACCCGAGCCTATGATCTTCTCAATGTGGACCCTGGATGCTTCGATCTCTCGGGTGAAGCTGCGGCCTGCTCGACCTGGCTCCTCATAGGTGTGGGGCTCTGCACAGAATTGGGGTTCTGGGAACTTCCCCGGGGGGTGATTCAAGGGCAAGAAGACAGGAGGGGGTGCTGAGGAGTCAAGGAGAAGGGCCCTCAATAGGGACAGGAGGAAGTTCCCTCTCCAATATTTTTAGGGGGACGAGGGTGTCTCTGGGAATCCCTAGATACAGTGCAGACAGCAGGGACCCCACAGTGCTTACCCACAGGCTTAAGTGAGAAGTCTGTGGCATGGCTCTGTGTTCTTAGTCTCTGGTTAATTCTGACATGTCTGATGTTCCCCGTGCCCCGCCTCCACCACGGGCCTTGAGTCTCTGTAATCTTAAAATTGCTCTTAGGGTGATGATGCCATTAAGAAAAAGAGTTCACAAGTGCCAACTTTGCCTGAAGGTGGGTCACTAGCAGATGGCTAACATGGATTCTGAGGCTGCATGGAGCCGGTGGGAATGAGCACTCTGACTGACATTAAGGGGCACAGTGGTGGGATTCGGAGGGGAGGTTCCCCCCCATCACCCCTGCTTCCTGGAATCTCCACGGGACCCTGACAATCTCTCTGTAGCGGGGCTCTTGTCCAAGACTGCACAAACCCCCACCAGAGAAATCACACACGAACCATGTGTGAGTGGACATGGCTGGCCTTGCCCTGGCCAAAGAGCCTCCATCATCCTCCCGGAGGCTGTCATCCAGCTAAGTGGGGGTGCTCTCTGGAACTGCTAGCCTTAGCCTACGGGTCCTGCCTGGCCTTTCCTACAGATAACTGGACCTACCCGCCCTGTACTGGGTCCTGCTGAGGCCAGGCTGTGCACTCACCCTGCCCATTCTGGTAATGCATCTTCTCCTCATCTGAGTCTTGGAAAGCCTTGCTGTAGCCGCAGTGCCTGCATGGGGATGGGGGTGGGGAGCACTCACCACCCTGCTGGGGCCGGGCCAGCCGAGACCCAGTCAGAAGATGAATTAAGGTGCCCCTCTCCCAGCAGGTTGGGTCATGCCCCTCAGTAAGTCTGCAGGGGAGGGTCCTTGCTTTTGGACTCACAGCTCAGCCCGTGAGGACAGCCCCAACAGCCACAAAACAGTTATAATCTACAAAATGCTCCCAGAGCGGCTGACCCTCACACAGGCCATGCTTGCAAAGGCATGACTTCCATGCTCTTCTGGGCCACTCTAGCAAGTCCCCTTTTTTCCCTGCCTGGGTGTGGGTGAGGTTAGTTGGGCGTGGCTGGGCATGGCTTGGGTGGGGCTGAGGTGGGACTGGTGTGGCTGGGGTGTGGCTGGGCCTGATTGGGTTGTGGTTGAGGAGGGGCTGAGGTTGGCTGAGCATGGCTGGGTTGTGGCTGGGCATGGCTGGGTGTGGCTGGGTTGTGGCTTGGGGCAGGGCAGAAGGACACCTACCTCTTCTTGCAGATGAGAAGTAGGAGGAGCACCACCAGGCCGGTGATGAGTGTCAGGCAGATCCAGACTATGGTCCTAGTGTCATAGCGGGGCCCTGCAGGAAGGCCTGGCCCTTTACAGCCAGCTCTGTACCCTCCCCCCCCAACTAGGCTTCCCTTAGTCCCTGGGCTCCCTGGCTTCCCACTGTGCAAGCTGTGCATGCTGGGGACAGTTACTTGCCCTCTTTGACCCAAACAAAAAAGAGCTGAAAACCACCCATGCTGCCTGTCAGTCTCCAAGCACCAGGAGTGTATTGAGAGATGTGAGTGCTGGCCTCAAGGGACACCTCTTCTGAGTCCTGTAAGGTAGGGCCTGGCACTGTCGCAACCTACCTGAGGCTCTGAGAACTCTAACTGGTGGCCACACATAAATGGAATGGAATGGGCATGACTGCCACCTTCCGTTTCAAAGGGACCCATAAACACTGGGCTTTGTGCAAACCTTTAACTGTTGGGCTCCCTTCTCAGGGTCTCTGATTCAGGGCAATAGGCCTGGGGACTAGCATTTCCAACAAGGCCCTGGTGATGGTTCCCGTGGTCCCAGAGTACACACGGGAAGCCTCCACAGGCTGTGGAAAGCCTGAGCCTCCGAGAGATGTCCTTGGGACACCCACAAGGTTATCTTGAAAAGGCCTCAGGAGAGGCCTGCAGGTGAGGGGGACTGAACTTCACTTTCTGCCTGAAAAGATGCAGTCCCACTGGGTTGGATAATGAGAACAGGGGTCCAGTGGACACAGTCTGGTATGGCCACAGGCTCCCCCCCCACTCACTCCCCTTCTCCCGGTCTCGCCAGTGGGACTCCCTGTCCCTCCCACTCCCTGTACTCACGGGGTTTCCCGGTCTCCACCTCCATGGCCTGGCTGAAGCGGCCACAGCCTGCTGAGGTGCGGGCTCGGACCTGGAACACGTAGCGAGTGCCTGGCTTGAGGCCCGACACAGTAGCGCGGGTGGTAACAGCCTTAAGGGTAGAGTAGCTTTGCATCTCCTTATCCTACCCAAAAGAGAGAGGGCAGTGAGGCCGGCCATGGGGCTCTGAGGGCCCTCCTTGCTGCCCACGGCCCCCATCAGCTCCTCGCCCACCCACCTTTGGGAACCTTCTCAAACCTTCTCGTAGTACTTGATCTCGTACTCCAGGATGATGCCGTTGGGCTGCTCTGGCTCCTGCCACAGCAGTGACACGCTGGTCTGCCCTGCCCGCTCCTGCCGGATCACCACCACCTGGGATGGGGCTAGGGTGGCAGCTACCCATCAGGTCCAGCATGGGCCATGCCCAGGCCTCTGCCCAGCCTTGCCCAGGCCCCTCTGGGACTCCAGGCTCAGCTTGTTGATTCCCCTTCTTCTATACCGGGACAATCAGCAACCCCATACCCTGGAGAGGCACTGGTTACTCCTTGGGGTCATCTCAACAGCACAGCCTAGCTCTTGGGCCAGGTTGTAAAGCTGGCTACATCTAGACAGGCCTGGTTACCCTCAGGGCCTCCATCCTGAGCAGAGGTCTGGGTATAGCAAGGCACGCCTCAGGTATGCCTGAGGAAGGACCCTGGGCTGGAGTCCTGGCTGGGTAGCACTTGACTATGAGAGGCAGGAGCTGAGCAAGCCTGTCTGAGTTCAGAGGTTCTTTGGTCTCAGGAGGTGCCCTGCCTCCCACCCCTGGCTTCCTCTTCAGGTACTCTGTGTCCTCCTGAGTCTGCCCGAAGGTCACACACAGCTACAGAAAAGGTCAAACAATGCAATACACTGGGCATGGTGGCTCCCACCTGTAATCCCAATACTCAGGGTGGAGATAAAAGAATCAACATGAATTCAAGGCCAGCCTGGACTACAGAGTGAGACCCTGACTGGCCAGTTCTTCCTGTGTCTAGGTGTCCTGTCGCTCCAGCATGTCTGGGATCCTATGAAGGCAGGGACTGCATACAGTTGGTGCCCAATAGACACTGCTGATGCTAGAGACTCTGACGTGAAAAGTCAAGAAGCCCCAATGGGAGGACCTGAAATAGGGGCTTCAGATGTGGAACTCACAGGTCAGCGGTGGCTTTCTCAGTAGCCAGGACCAGCTAAGTCACAGTTGTCCCTGCAGGCTGCTCTAAAGAGCCCAAGGCTGGCAGGCAGATGGGCATGGGTACAGAACAAGGAGAGGCACCTGCTGCATGGTGCCAAGTTGGGGGGAAAGACTAGCAGGTGCAGTTGAGGTCGCTCTACAAGGAGAGTCTGTGGGAGAGAGGGCCTTGACAGGAACAGCACAGGAGACCCATGGTGGGTGGAGTGGGGTAGTGTATGTCTCTCTAATGTGGGTGCTGTCCAAATGCTGCTGCGTTCTTCACTCTTCCGCCCCCCCCCCCCCGTCCAGCCAACCACCCGCTCCTGCAGACAGGTGGCGGAGCAGGACTGTGAACCCAGGCACGGGTCTGTTCCTGAATACCGTGGGATAAGAGGGTGGGAAGATGGGGAGAAAGGAGGTGGGCCCTGGATAGATAGATGTCACTGGCCCATTGGAGAGATGGTGGTGCTGAACTCCCCAGGAGGATGCTCATTTGGGTCCTGACCTCTGCTTTCTACATGGTGACAGGGCATCTCTGCATGCTTATGTATGCCAATGGTGGGGAGGAGCTGTGGGTCCTGGGAATGTTCCAGGGTGACTATTCACAGAAAGCTAGTCCTGGCTGCTCTGGGGACCAGGCTACACCTGATAGGCAGGATCCCCCAAGTTTGGAGGGCACAAACCCCCAGGGGCTGAACTTAGTCCAGCTGACTAGAGATAAGTGAATGGCCATGGTCCCAATACGGCCAAACGGACCTGGTTCTGGAAGTAGGCACCAAAGTGAGGACATCTAGGACTAGGGATGTGGTTCATTTGGTAGCGTGCTTGCCTGGCATGCATGAAGCACACTGGGTTTGATCCTCAGACTCTCATGAACTGGGAGTGGAAGAATATATCTGTCATCGCAGCACTTGGGAGGGTGAGGCAGAAGGACTGGTGTGGGTTCAAGGCCAGCTTGGGCCAGCGTGAGACTCCATTGCCAGCTGCTGGGCTGAATGCTCTCCCTTCTCGCTATGCCTCCACAGAGTGGGAGACAGTACTGTCACTTCCACTGCACAAGAGAGAAAGCCGAGATACAGGCAGGGAAACTTCCGGAATCCGGGCTTAGGGCCCCCAATGGAAGACTGCCTCTGTACTTTCTAAGGTACACCCATTCACAGGACAGGATCTGCTTTCCTACAGCCACAAGGGTCCCCTACTCAGGTCCTGGTGGGAAGGAAGAGCCAAGAGAGACAATGGTTCAGGAGGGCGTGGGGGTCCCCGGGGCTGCTCCGCCTACCTGCCTGGTTCGTGGTGATGTTGACCACAGCAGCGCTGCGGGGCTCGGGGCTCAGGTTGGACACACCATTGACAGCCTCAATCCAGAAGGAGTAGTTCATGTGGGCCAGCAGGTTGGCCACCAGCAGGCTGGCCTGTGCCAGGCTTGTCTGCTGTGGGACGAAGCGGGTTCCACTCCCACAAGCCTCACAGTGGCTCAGGGCCCAGGGGCAGCGGCGGCACACTGCATTGTAGGTGATGTCACTGCGGCCACCTGGGTCCAGGGGAGGGGCCCACTCCAGGGTCACAGAAGTCCCATTCACACTGGAGATCAGGTTCACTGGCGCTGAGGGTGGCCCTGAGGGCAGAGAGTACCGAGTTGGGGTGGCACTGGACCAGATACTGGTCCATTGTATCTAGGGCCTCTTAACTAAGAAGTCACATCTATCCCACCCTCTGGAAACTCCCAGGACTGAGACTGTATCAGCATCTGAGACAGAAGCCTGTGTTTCCATGCCACAGGGTCACAGCGTGTGTTCCTACAATTCCCACCTACAGCTTGAGAGGACATTGCACGGTCCTGGGGTGCCCACAGCAGCCACTTTATATGTAAACAGTTTGATTATGTCTACCTGCCCCCATCTCTGCATTATTATGCTAATAAAAACGCCACCAGGCACTCTCTGTGGGAGCCTGGAGTTTCTCCACCAGGCTGTGGGGTACCACACATCCCTGCTTCACCCTGGAATGCAGGCTGGGCAGCAGAGAGTCTGGAGAGAGGGGCTGGTGGCCCTTGGTTGGGCTGATTGTAGGGATGGGTAGAAGTGTCATGGGGGTTGAGCTGGGAGGGCAAAGGTTGGGTAGGGTTGGGTAGGGAACCTCAGGGCTCAGGGTTCCAGGCTGGGAATCTTGGCCTTGAGAGACTGAAGTGCACTTTCTCGGAACCCTTCTTGAAGGGTTCTCAGGGCTCTTGAAGAATGCAGAGAAGAATTTCCAAGCCAAGGATACAAAACACCAAAAGCCCGAACTCACAGACTTAGGCCAGCTGGCATCTTTGGGCTCTGTATCACAGGCTTGGGAAGAAGCCAGAGGCTAGCCAGATGTGGGCACCTGCCTGGGACCAAGAGCTGGACTTGTTTCAGCGGATGAGGAATTCCTCAGCTGAGGAGACCCATCAGGAATCCCATCAAGATAATGCTCAAGCCTGGGCAAGAACCACTGAGGAGGGCTGGCTGGCATGAGCATGTGTGGCATCCATGGCTGTGAGCAGCACATTCAAGCCCTGCCCTGCCTGTGCGGGGAGCCTAGAGCTGGGTGGTGAGAGGGGCAAGGGAGGAGGGGTCTAGGCAGCAGTTTCAAAGGCAAAATCATCCAGGCCTCCCTGTAGCAGGCGGTGGGCAAGGGTAAGTGAATGCCGATCCCCTGGCCAGTGGAGGTTAAGGCCAGGGCTGAGAAGCAACAGCAGTGCCAAGACAGTCCTGTGTCCCTCTGAGTCCCCTCAGGTGCACAGGGCACATGCACACAGAACCACATCCTCTAGAGGGACAACACACACCTGTTCAGGAATCCTTTCAACTGTCCTGTGTCTCACACCCACCCACCTGAGAACCTGTAATACACACAAGTACAAAAGCATGCTGCACACTCACACTCTGGCGTGCAGACATCATCAGTGAACCTGCCAACACACACACACACACACACACACACACACACACACACACACACACAGAGAGAGAGAGAGAGAGAGAGAGAGAGAGAGAGAGAGAGAGAGAGCGCACTCCCAGCATTCAGCAGTTCCTGCTGGCTTGTCTAGGATGTTGGGGGTAGGAATGCTATCTGGCTCCCACCCTCACCTCACACTGAGCACAAGGCTTGCCTACCTAACCCTGGGACACGGACACCATTGCCAAGTCTAATGGCCAAACAACCTTGCTCCAGGAAAGCACAAGCCCTGGCTGGATGTTCCTTAGGGAGAGAAAGACCGAGGGAAGGATAGAAAGAGGTTCTTGGGTGTCCCTGAAGAGATGGCAGGGGACCAAAACAAGACTCGATGAGGTCAAGCTTGGTGCTGCAGTGAGAGCCAGCCGTCTCCCCTACACACCAACCCACCCTTATTTCACAGACACCTAGCTCCTGAACCCTGGGGGTCCTACCAGGAGAGCTCCTAGGCAGTACTCACGGGTGCAGGCTGCGGATGGTGGGTCCAAGGCTGCTCGGTAGTAACTGAGGTCACAACGGCAGGTCTGGGCCGCAGGGGTCGCAGAATGGCTGTGGGGTGGGCATCGGGCACACAGCTGGTCCCCGGGGGCTGATTTGTAGAAGCCCAGCTCACAGGCTGTGGAAGATAAGACAGCCTCAGGCAAGCTTTGGGACCACCAAAGGGCTTCAGGGGGGGCTCCCCCTGAGCTTCCCAGTATGAGTCGTGGGAGGTCCTGGAGAGCAGAGTTTCTAGTCTGTAACACAATGCTGTTATCCTCACCAACAAATAGGAGGACAGAGTGTAGAGAGGGCATTTGACTTCCACAAGGTTGCACGGAGCTGAGCTAGGACCTTGATATGCTTTCCAGTGCCAAAGTGGACACCCCAAAGCCCCACCCCAAGCTTCTAAAATCACACACCCTCCTTGGCCTCAGAGTCTGACAGGGCCTAAGCAGCTGAGAATCAAAGGTAAGGTGGTTAAAACTATGGCTTGTGTGACTTGAGTGATATAAAAGGGGGGAGTGGGAAAATAAGAAAAGACCCACACATGACCTGTTCTCAGACTGAACAAACGGGCCCTCTCCCATTAAAGCCAGCTTCCTGACTTGAGCACAAACCCCAAGGTAGCAAAGTCTATGGCTGGGGTCTCGCACTCCATGCTTCACAAGTTCCCCAGGGAACGTGACTCCAAGACCCGCCACTCTGCCACCTCTGCAACCAGTGGCTTGTTCCCTGTCTGACCCTTTCTCCTGCCAAACCTGCCACCTGTTCTATCTCATCTGAGTGACAGTGGCAGCCTGCAACTGGGCCTCTAGCCCCACCTGCCCCCTCACAGTCAGCTGCTGGTCAGATAGCTTAGGAGCAGGACCTGGGACCGGGCCCTTTTCAGATCCAGGGGACTCTGAAAGGAGTTGAGCTACCCAGCCCACTTTCCAGGACCACCATGCTGGGAAAGGGAGACACAGGGCAAACACGATCAAATCATCTTCAGGGGGCAAGTGCATCGTGGAGAGGAGTGGTAGAAGCCCCCTGCCCCAGGAGGGGGAATGACAGGGTCAGGAATCCCCCCACCCTGGCCTGGCCTGGCTTGCTCAGTCCCTTGGAGTTCCAAATAAAAAAAAACTTCTCTGCCAGGCCAATGTCAGCTGCCCATCAGACTGAATGGACCAGTCCCGACAGGGTGCTGGCCTCAGGGCCTTTGTACATGTTAGGCTTTCTTCCCAGGGTGGCTTTTCTCTCCTATCCATGTGCTGAACTCCTCTTTCCAGATCCATCCCAATTGGTCCTCGGTGACAGACAGCATTGCTGCTCCTCTCCATGGAATACACAGAAATGACTGTGCCTGCCCCTGTATCTCCCTTCCCAAGTCAGTCTCCTGGATCGGGAGGACCTCATGGGGGGAAGATCCTTAGGAGGGTAGGGATTGATTTGTTCCAGAGCAGGTGCCTGCGTGAGCCCTTCTGGAGGGTGAGGCAGACTCAGTGCCACTCAGCCACTTCCAGCTCTGTCACAGCAGAAGTCTTTCTCCACAGGGACAGTGCCAGGCTCACTGGATTCTCTCCACACTAAATCCCTTCTGGAAAAGCCATTCCCCCAGAGAAGTTTTATTTAAGAGAGTCATTTCAGAGCACGGTGCCTGCGGATGCCGATCAGATCTCTTTCTTATATATGCTAAAGCCAAGCAAATTCTAGAATTCTGCAGACTTGTGAGAAAATGAGCAACAGGGGAAATGACAACCCTCGAGTGGCTCTGGGGACACAGGGTGCAGCCCTAGAGGGGCCCAGCACTGTTCCGGGATGGGACAACATGCCCATGTTTTCAGGTATGTGCCCCATTCTAAGGGACCCAAGAAGATTCAGGCTTGATTCCATTTGGGCTCAAGGTATAGGGCCCTGTCTTGGGGTGCAGACCAGACACAGGCTCCTTCTGAGGCAGGGAGTTATCAGAGCAGCACTGTTAGCAGGGGACTTGGCCTCTCCGTGCTGGACCTGGGGTTGTGCTGAGCAACAGTGCCTGTTTGCTGTTCCTCCTTCACCCTTTCCCCCACTGCCCTGCCCCTCCACTCCACTGCCCTGCCCCTCCACTCCACTGCCCTGCCCCTCCACTCCACTGCCCTGCCCCTCCACTCCACTGCCCTGCCCCTCCACTCCACTGCCCTGCCCCTCCACTACAAACTAGATCACAGAAGAGCTGGCTCTGCCCAGGGAGCCTTTGGAGCAATGAACAGGGAAGTCATTCTTAGGGACATCTTGCTCTGGCACGGCACGAAGGGAGTACAATGGGACAGCCATCTCTGAAAACCTTTGGCTGTCAGCTCAGAATAGAACAGTGGCCAGCAGGGGTTGACTGAGTCTCTTTCTGGCATAACCCCACAGTTGGGTTAAGTGACACAGAACACATTTCATTAGGCCTTAGTTTTCTTACCTGTAAAATGGGGGCAGCAATAGTGCTAGCCTAGGGTTGCTGTGAAGGTCACATGAGCATCAGAACCTAGTGGTACTGTTGCTATAAGTAGATTCAATTGGCAATTGCTGTACAACTGTTTTTCCTGTGTGTGTATGTGTGTGTGCGTGTGTGTGTGTGTGTGTGTGTGTGTGTGTGTGTGTGTGTGTGTCTATGTGTCTGTGTGTCTGTATGTCTCTGTGTGTGTGCCTTTGTGCATGCTGGGGATAGGATCCAGGGTCTTGTTGCATAGGCTCGGCAAGCTCTCTCATTATATTTCACCCAGCTCACAGGATCCTTTGACAGAAAAGGGAACAGCTCAGAGAGTTGCAGCCTTCAGCCCCAGGTGCTCAGCCCAGGGATAATGCAAAGCCAGTCAGGGACCTTCCAGCTGGGCCCCTACCTGGCTTTCCTCAGAGCCCTGAGCTTAGAAGTGGCTCTGTCTTTCTTAACCACCAAGCTGTCTCTCCAGGCTGGCTGTGTCTTCCTATAGCTCACCAGTCGGCAGTCCCCTCCTGCTCCGCTAATACCCAATATGGCTATCACGTGTCAAGGCCAGATTAATCCACGCCTTGAAAATAAAATCATCTTTAATAAGAATACTAATCACCAGGCCTCAGGGAGCCCTGAATCCTGGAGGCTGGGCTAGGAATTAGTGGCTGGGACAGATGGAGGCACTCCAGGCTGGGGCCTGGTCCTGCCCCGTGACCCAGGGGGCTTCCGGAGTGGTCCAGGGCTGGAGTTGCAGGCTGTGGGCCAGGAGAGGCCACTGCCCCTCCGAGGGCACCTTGCCCAGGCTGCCTGTCAGGTTGGCAGCTACCCACAGCCTCAGCCACCTCTTTGCTCCCCCTGCATGAAGCCTGAGATTTGACAAATAAGGTGCCCGCCCGTGGTCGACCAAAGGAAATTAATTCTAAATCAGATTTTAAACACAGGCAGGAAGGCAAAAGAGCTCGTTGTCCCCGCTTCCCTCCGAATGAGCCTCTGATATTTATAGAAAGATGATTAGGGCCCCCGAGGGTGATTTACATTCCCATCCAGGTGACAGGAAGGACAGCAACTAGGCTTCAGACTCTCCCTGCCTCTCAGGGAGTGGGGGTGATACTCCAAGGCCCTTCCGCAGGCTGGAGGAGTTGGGGCAGGGGAGGATTGCAGGGCGGTGACTAAGGAGGTCACTGAGTCACTGACTGGCAATTTCCTGCTCAGGGATCCTGGAGATTGGAGATCTACCTACTAGTCTTCACTGTGTGTCCCTGGGCCACTAACTTTCCCTCTCTGGACTTTTGTCTCTCAGTGGTAAACTGGATCAGTTTCATATGACATTTACCCCATGAGTTTCTGATGCCGGAAAGAAATCTTATTTAGGCACCTGAGGAGCCAGGTGATACAGGCAGAGATTACAGTTTCCAGACAGAGACCCAGGAAGGCTTCTGGCCTGGCTCGCTCTGTGAAGGTCTCTGTTTGGAACCTCTGTGGCTCCTTCCAGATGTGGTGACACAGAGAGTCACAGATGCCACCAGCAGGGCTGGGAAATGTCCCTCCATGTGGAACTCAAAACCCGCAGCCCATCCCTATCGCTGCCTGCAGTGCACTGTGAATTGATATTTTTTATAAAACCTGTAATTATCTTGCAACTAGCATAATTATGTTGCATTATGATTTAAATGTAAAACTCAAAACACACTGCAGTTCCCTGACCCTGCCCTGCGTGTCTTTGTTATTTTTTATTAATGGGCTGGCAGCAGTAGGCAGTAAGCTTGGCCTTGGCCTCCCAGTCTCCGAGGAATTCTCACCAAGAACCCCACCCTGCCCCATTTCCCACCTCTGCCAAATAAGGGAACTTCCTAATCTTGCCCACAGGCCAGTGCAGGCCATAGTGTCTTGGTGCCCATGGGACTGACTGCCTTACTTGTTGAGCTGGCATATAGAGCTGGAAGCTGAGAAAGCCCTGGGTAGGTGTCATCAGCTAGTTAGTCATTACGGCATGACTGTACCCATCACTAGCAGCCTGGATGTGACAAGAGCGCTCTGTGGGTAGATGGGGGAGCCCCTGGCTTGAGGGCCAGGTAGCCTGGGATCAGATCCACTCTGCTACTCACATCAGAAGGCCTCAGTTTATCCCATCTGCAAACTGGGAGTATGGTGCCTCACTTAGAAGGCTGTTGTAAGGATGGGGATTTCCTAAAGGCAGGGTCCTCCAGCCCAGACTTCCATGCTCTGAGCACACAGATGCTCAATGGAAGAATAGATGACCTAATGTGTTAAGGGACTATATTAAAGTCTCCAAACATGGCAAACATTGGAAAAGGTGCCATAGAAACAGTGTGTTCTTCCTATCTGCAGGAGGTGTCTCCAAAACTCCTATAGAGGAAGGTCCCTCCCTGGATCCTCTGCAGCCAGAACCAAAGTTCTCCATAGCCAGACTTGTCTGTGCTCTCTCTGATGGCAGAGGGATCATGTGTCCAGCCCCTAGCAGATCCAAGAAGGGCAGAGGGAAACCAGGCTGAGGCCCACACCAGCTGGTGCCCCAGCTGGTGCCCACAGAACTCCCCTAGGCAACTTGTTCTCAGCATGCCAGGCTGTAGGGTCCCACATGGATCCACAGATCACATGTGTGCACTTGTCTGTGTGTGCATGCGCGCGCGCGCGCACACACACACACACACACACACACACATGCAGCACAGTGCCTGGGTGTCCCTTGTCAGTGCCTGGTCGTGGTATACCCATGTGCCCAGCTGTCCCCAACAGGACTTTGCAAGCTCTCCCAAACACAGGTGGCCTGAGGCTGGCACCATGTGACAAGTCCAACCTAGCCTGTCCTCCTTGGGTGGTCCTGTCAGCATGTCTTTGCAATGTCCTCTTCCTATGCCTCTTTACTCAGAACCCTGGTTCTACCTCCATCCACTCCACACTTTGGAAGGCTGGCAATTTTTCAGCTTAGAGTCCGGAGCCAGCATACAAACCCTAGCTTTGCTACTGCCTGGCCTAGCTGTGTGACTTGGAGCAACCTGCTTCCTTTCTCAGTGCATCTTCAAAACCAGAACAGTAATAGCCCTTGCTTTATAAGGTGGTGACGGGGACTGAGTTAATACACGTGAAGCCCCTAGAACAATGGTTGCATGGGTTAGCACACAGTGTTTTTTCCTACCCTAGGGACATGCCTGATAGCATACCTGACCACACAGGTCCCTTTGACAGCGTTCACAGGACAGGCCGTCTGCCTGTTCCCCAGTCCCCAGATGCACTGTGAATCTGCTGACAGAGAGCCAGATGGCTGGATATGATGTCTTGTACACCAGCAGCCCTGCCCACACGGAGCCACCTGCCACCCACCCGGACAGCCAGCCTTGAGTTCCACTCACCCATACAGGCATCTCGCCGCTCCTCATAGCCAGCACTGCACACGCACTTGCCAATGGGTACCAGCCACTCGCCCTCAGCACTGCAGTACATCTTGGGTGTGTCTCGCTCCTCAGAGTGCCGCACACACTGGCCTCGAACCTCTACCAGCGAGGATGAGTCAGCCCCAGTCACTGCCTCTGAGAATGCTGCCAGGTTGCGGACCATGGCGGGACACTTCTTGTAGTAGATGCGGAGTGAGAGGATGGCGAGGCAGGCGCCTATATCCTGGAAGGCCAAGTAGAAGCCACGCTTGCTGAGTGGGCCCACACCACGAACCTCCGTGTTCAGCTTGAGCCTCCGCACACCCAGGTCAGCACCCGTGAAGCTCTCATCAGCCGCGATGGTGTCAATCTTGAGGAACTGGCTCTCCTGTGTGCTGGCACCTAGGTCCCGGTCAGACTCCAGGTAGTGAAGGTTGAAGGTCTCCTTGCAGGTGCCCAGCACACCAGGGATGCTGTTGCAGTCACGCAGCGTGAACTTGATCTCAGCGTAGACACGCCGGGCACCATCGCGGGGCACCCAGTTTGTACGCAGCCAGTTGTTCTGATTAGGGGTCATGACGTTGCACACTTGGTACGTATGGATGGGCCGGAAGGACTCATCCACCTCGTTGATGGAGTCCCACTGTGACAAAGAGAACACAGTCTGCTAAGGCGGAGACTTCACCTGGCCCTGTCCTGCCAGCTCCTGCACGGATGCCAGGAAAACCACAGGCGAGAAATCCCTGTGGGTAGGCAGTCACCACTGCCCAAGTCCAGGTACCTGCAAATGAACCCTCAAGTTACACCCATGAAATTGTTATTGACTTCCAGATATGAGGAGGAGCCAGACGTGTGCCACCAAGGGGTGAGGCTGGCCAGAGCCTGTCTGCTGTCCAGGGTCTGACTGATCTTTCTAAATGGCTCTATCCGTCACCTCAGGGTGCTTGGATAAATGCATGAATCCAATTTCCCTTCTAGCTACTAAAGGGACCCCTTTAGCATAAAAAGCAGTGGTCCTGGCTGTACCCCACCTCAAATCCCTCTCCAGCTTCCGTCCTTTGTGGCTGCTTGCTGAAGGACTGATGGACTATTCACACACTACCCTGCTAACTCACTTTATAGTCAGACCAAGCCTGAACAACAACTCCGCTTCTCTGGCCTGTACTCTCCGAGTGTCAGATTTTTTTTTTTTTTTTTTTTTTTTTTTTTTGCCAAGGGTGCGACAGGTTTTCTGTGTATGTAGCCTTGGCTGTTCTGGAACTCTCTCTGTAGACAAGAGATTCACCCACCTCTGTCTCTGAGTGCTGGGATTATAGACCTGCCTGGTTGGTAGAGGGTAGGGGATGGGACTCAGGGCTATGTGTGTGCTTGGCAGGCAAGCTATTAAAGGAGGTTCTGCTTCACTGTTCTTGGCTTGGGATGCTAGGGCTGGCCTGGACCCTACTCAAGCCAGAATAAGTCTGGGGAAAAGTTAAGCGGTACAGCTTCTGTCTGGTACTAGCAGGGTGAGGGAAACAGAGATAAACCAAATACCCCCACAGAGCTAAGAGAAAGGCAGCGCGAAGCAGGGGAAATCTGCCAACCATATATCAGACGAGACATTAATATCCATAACAAATAAAGAAATACGCTCACGAACAGAAAACTAACAGTCCAATTAAAAAAGGAGCAAAGGACTTGAAAAGACATTTTTTTCCCCTAAAGAAGATACACAGATGGCTAAACAGCACAAGAAAAGACACTCAACATCACTAACCACTGGGGAAATATGGATCAAACCCACAGTGAGAGCCCACTACAGATCCTTTAGATATTGAAACAGAAAGGAAGTGCCGGTGAGGGCATGGAGAATGCAGGAGCCTGGTGTATCGCTGAACTATGCAGCCACCGTGGCAAGGGCCTCAAAAAACAGAATTACATGAGGCAGCAGTTCTAAGTGTACATCATCTTGATGAGATACCTGTATGCCCACGCTCACGACATGGATGGGCAGCTGAATGTGCGTGCTACTAAGTGTGGATGCTTGCCTACCATGCAGCATCCCTTGGGTCATCAGAAAACACATAAAAATCTCAAGTAGCTGAAAAAATGCAAACAACCTACCTGCATACCCACAGATAGAGAAAATAGCACACACAGACAGTGGACTACTGCTCAGCCTTAACAAGGAATGGGAGTTTAATAAACACTAGGACATAGGTACACGTGTGTGTTTGCATACGTGCATGCCTGTATGTGTGTGTTTGTGGTGTGCTCATCCATGCACATGGAGAAAGATCAGAATATGCCGAATTAGCCAGGCATGGTAGCTCACCCCTCCCAGCACTAACTCCCTAGAAGCGGGTGGATCTCTGTGAGTTCAAGGCCAGCCTGGTCTACAATGAAAGTTCCAGGACAGCCAGGGCTACACAGAGATAACAAACATACAAACATACATAGATACATACATAGATATATACATACATAGTGTCATCCACTTTCATTTCCCATTACATTCCCCTAAGATAGGGTCTCTCACTGAAACTGGACCTCATTGCTTTTCAGCTAGTGGTCAACAAGTACAGGAATTCTTCCATCCCTGCCTATCCATCAGTACCACCACAGTGCTAGGGCTTCAGGTGCACACTTGACCATGCCTGGCTTTTTCTGTGCGTGCTGGGGAATGTTAACTCAGGTCGTATGCTTACACAGTAAGAACTCTTACCCACTGATCCACCCTCCCTACCCCATGGGTGAGTCCTAAGGGCATACTTAATAAAAAAAAAAAAAAAGCCACCAATGCTGCCTCATCCATCCCAGCTTCATCAGGTCTTTAGGTCAGTAGATGGTAGAGAGATGGGAAACAATGATGATTTCTGGGGGGTGGGGGTGGGCAAGGGTGTTACTGTCCATGGTACAGCATCCTGGCTGGTAAAGACAAAGTGTTCTGGAGATGGGTGGTCTGTATGGTGGTGACATATGGTCACGTAGCAATGTGAATGTGCCTTATGCCACTGAACTGTATGGCAAAAGTGGTTATGGCGGTAAATTTTATGTGTGTCTTACCACAATCAGAAAGAAGGGGATATGGCTCAACGGTAGAGTACTTGACCAGTATGTTTGAGTCTGGGTTCAGCCCTTATCCCTAGTACCTTGGCAACCACAACCATGATGAAGTAAATTATTTCTGTTCACAAAGGGGCCTCCACCCCTACCCACAGCAAAGAAGGGGAGAATGATAGCTCAGGGGTCCTGAAATCCATATGGGAAAGAGAGAGAGAGAGAGAGAGAGAGAGAGAGAGAGAGAGAGAGAGAGAGAGAGAGAGATTAACACTTGAGCCCTCTGGTGTAGCCAGCAATATCCTGGGTGAAGGGGGAGCTTTATGTAGGCACACAGAGGGAAGATCCCGGGTTTCCTCATCCACACTACTTGCTCCAGCCAGGGGCAGCCAGTGGGCTGAATCCTGAGGACCTCAAGGAATTGCTGGGGCTGAGGACAGATGGCCATGTCCACCTCTGTGACTCTCTCTCTCTCTCTCTCTCTCTCTCTCTCTCTCTCTCTCTCTCTCTGCCCTGTGAGAACTAAGGATCTTGTTACTTCAGTACAGGGAAGTAGGGGCTTGAAGACCCTTCCTCCTGACACCCCACTAATCTGTGGGTTGAGCTTGCTGTCTGTGTGACACACTGGGGGTCCTGAGTGTCCCAAACCCTTTCCTGCCTGTCCCTCCATCTGGCCTCATTCCTGCTGGCTGCATGGTCTGCACCCCAGCACCCCCAGACAGGCCCATCTCTATTAGGCTGGGAGGGCGCCAAGAGAAAATGCCTGCAGAGTGCTGAGCTCAGGCCTGGCGCAGGAAGGCACTCAAAGAGCAAGGCACGGGTCCACTACCGTCCTTGCCAGCACATCCCTGGGCTGCCTCCATGCCTGCAGGACCATCAGAGGGAGGTGCTGGGGGAGCAGCCTCACTTGTAAGAGCTCATGCTTGCTGCCCCATGCCCCACACTGTAGCCCCCGCTCCAGGCAGCACCGCCACATCTGGGGCTAAAGTCATTGTCACAATTAATGGAACACCAAAGAGCCTGCCAGATGCTCCCTGTCTGTTTCCTGCCAGGGGCCCAGATAAATTAACCAGCTTGAACAGAGTCCGCTCCAGCTGTCCCCACCAGTGCCAATGGCCTGGCCCAGCCCTGCCAGCCCCAGAGTGAGGGCAGACGCCTGGAGTGGCCGGGTTCCTGGAAATAAATGCAGGGATAAAGCCAGCCCAGTCCCCACTCAGGGCCACTCCCACCCAAGTTGACTCTGCAGCTGACCCCTCATGCTGTCCCCTACCCTGTGCTCTTACTGGAACAGAACTGGGTAAAGAGTCTGTGCAGCCCTGGGCATGTTACATTCCCTCTCTGCGTGTTGGGTGTTTTATCTATGAATGTCTGCTCCTTCCAGATACTCCAGGGCATGGTGAGGGTCAAGGGAGATGTAGATAGCAATATGCCCCCTTTCCTTAGGGCACTGTGCATTCTATCTGCTCATTGCTGGGCAAGATACAGGATACCCCAGTGGGGTGGAAGGAGCGATGCAGCTTAGTTAAGTACATGAGGTATGGGCCTAAGCAGAGTAGACACGTCTTTCAAAAGCTGGCTTCTCATTGGTCAATGCCCTTTCTATGCATCCCTATGTAACTGCAGAGAGCACACTCCATGATCATATATATAAGAGGTGAATGGCCTGTGAGATCCAACTGGTTAGAGAAGACAGAGCTCCTCCTGTTTTGGGGACTGGCATCCATGCCTTCAGCTATGTTCTGCCCAAGCCAGATACCCCCTCTCATGCTAGGCACAGCCCAGAAGACCACTAAGCAAGCTGCAGAAGGAGAGAGCTGGACAGAGCTTCACGAGCCAGGTGGCTGGGCAGGAGAATCAACAGAAGGCTCTGGATGGGAGCATGCGCCCACTCCCCGGATCGACCTGCTTTCAGGACTGGGGTTGGAGCCAGGTAGCATATTCCTTTCTGGGCAACTCCAGGCTCCAGGTGGAGCAAGTACATCCTTGGCTCAGTAGTTGCATGGATCCTCCTCCACCCCGTATGGGGGTCACAAAGCCCTCAGCACCTGAGGTGTATAGGGTTCCATGCAGGCTCCAGGCCTAGAAAGATCTGGGTTTGAGTCCTGCTCACTGTAGCAGTGTTTTTTGTTTTGTTCTGTTAGTTTGTTCACTGCACTGGTGTAACCCTCATCTGTGGAATGGGCCAGCCATCCTCCAAAGGCTTGCTCCCAGTGCAATGTGAGCATGAGGCTTTATCATTGTTTTCGAAAGTGGAAAGATGTTGCACATGCCTGGCATGCCAGGAACAGCAGAGCCTTCTATCACCAGGTGTGAGCCCCCCCAGAAACCAAATCCAGGTTCTCATTCCCTGGTCCCAGGGCAACAGAGACAGCCAGAGCAGAGCCCACCTGGGGCCAAGGCTGCCTCTTCCTAGCAGTAGAGGAGATGTGTTTTAACAGCTCAGCTAGCATCAGGCACTCTGCGTGGACCAGGCCTGAGACCACAGTTCCCTTGGATAGTTCATCACAGGCCCTTCCCAGGGAAAGCCACATCGGGCTGCATTTCTCAGAAGCAGAGCCCCCAGCCTCTGTCCTCAGAAGTGGTGGCTGTGCAAGCTACAGCTCTGGGGCTGGAGGATTATAGCAATCAGGCTTGGCCCTGCTAGCTCCCAGAGTCCTGTGCCCAAGGACTGATGGCTGTTGGCTCAAGCCACTGCTGCCTGCCATGAGACCCCAGAGGGAGGGCAGAGATCCATCCTAACCTCCAAGAAGAAAACCTCACCCAATGATTAAAAAAAAAAAAAAAAAAAGAGTTCCTTTCCAGGTCTCAACTCCCGGTGCCACTATCGTTATTAGGACAAACTAGGCCCTGTCACAGGGCCATGAAAGCCAAAAGTATTCATAAAAGCAGTCAGCACACATGCATGCCTTTGCTGGGGACAGGGGTGCGTGTCATGTATGTGTGTGTTCATTATGGGATATAATCACAGCACACACTGGTTACATTGCTCATTGACTCTGAGAGTCACTGCTGCTGAGGTCCCATTGTGTACCAAGGCCATGTAACAGCCTTAAGAGGTCACCGCACGCCTGCCTTTTTATAGACAGGGAGACCGAGGCCTGGAGAGGTGACCCAGGCCCCACCTGTCACTGTCTCACCTTTACTATGACGCCCATGGAATCTGAGAAACATGATGAAGGACACAGTTTGTGCAGTGTGGCTACTGGAGTCCACGGTCACCTGGAGACCTGATGGGGCCTAGGAATGTACCATCGTGGACCGCTGTGCTCAACGTGGTTCTGACAGACACTCAAGGCTCCTCCTGGGTCCAAGCAGCCCCTGGTGAGGCCTGGCAATTGGAGGGAGGGGACCCAGACAAAACTAAGGAAGGTCTGGGAGGACTTGGTTGTCTGTTTCTCTGTTGCCATGGTTCCAGCGACCCTGGGCCTGGGCTGGGCAGACTGTGAATATGCAAGCCTAGGGCACAGATACAAAGATCCTCAAACTGAGGGTCAGACAGGAATCAGGGGCCTGTGTCAGAGCCCCAGGGATCCCAATGAACTAAACTACTAAGAACGACCCACTCTGCCCCATCTCTGCGTCCTTGAATGAATGAGTTTCCTTCTCAGAGGTTTTGCTTCCTTTTGACCTGTGCCATGCTAAGACTCTGAACTGTAACCTCTCAGAAAGACAACACTACGTCATCACTCACCCCGTGAGCCGGATATGTGAGCCAGCCCCAGTCTCCATGGATGGTTGAGGTGTCCAACAGGTTCACTGTAAAACAGAACACAAGAGGGCATTAGGCCCCTGTGACCCCTTTCCCAGCCAGAGCCAGCCACACTGGTCACTCCTAGCTGTCCCTTCCCAGGAGCTCACAGTTCCTAGCCCAGGATGCTTGCTCTTGCCAGTGTCCTTCAACCAACAGCCACGTCACTACTGCGGCACATACTGCCCAAGCCCTGGGCTTCCTGGAATAGCTGGGTCTAGTGGGGGGTGGGGCATCTTGCAGGCCCAGGCTGGCATCCTGATTTTATCTCTCCACTGAAGCCCCAGATTCCTCCTTTGTAGGATGAGAACGATGGTGTTTACTCCCAGTGCTCTCAGAGGAGGTGATGGTATTCGCATTTACACTATCAAGTCCCGCCATTTACCCAAGGACAGGCACAACTTTAATGTCCTCAGTGTCCCAGGATGGAGCCTGGCACCTGCTAGACCACTAGAGACAGTGACGGGAGGGCTGTGGATGGGCAAGAGTGGCCTCCTAATGCCACCTACTATGTGCTGAACTCTACCAGGGGAGCCTCAAATGCCACGTTGCCTATGATGGTGTCTCATGGCAGTCTAGAGAAGCAGTCAGTATGTCTCTGAGAGGTTCGGGAACCTGCCTAGAAGCCCAGGTGTGGCGAGCAGGGCCAGCACAGAGAGAACTATCAATTGGTAAGGCTGGCAAGAGAAGCAGATTCTCTGGATGGTACCCTGGATAGGGGGAAGGAGTTCTGACTCAAATGCCAGCCTGTTCAAAGTCAGACCCCATGCCCACCTGGGGGTTCTTGCAGCATCATAAGATAAAGATCCCTCTTTGGTATTAGGCATTCCTGGACCCTTGTTACGTCACAGTCTCTCATTACCAAGTGGCCTGTGTTTCTCTGAATCTCAATTTCTTAATCTGTAATATGAATCAGTAAGACTCAGGGGTTCAGATGGGGGTTAAGAAAGCCATCTTTAAAGCGCAAGGCCAGTGCCTGGTCCAAGGCTAGTCTCTGTTGACACTCTGGTCTTTTTCCTATATCCCTATGCTTACTCACTCGCTCAAGCAACTACAGCACACTATCTTCCTCAGAGAACAGGACTCCAGTCTCAACTATCTGCATCTGTTGTGTGTCCTAGGAAAGTTCCTTCCTGTCTCTGGACCTTCTTTTTTTCTTTTCTTTTCTAGAGGCCTCTGGCACAGAACCTCACAGCCTTCCGCGTTTTGTTTTTCTCTTCTGTGGGTCTCCTTTCCTAGCCAACTACCGTGGGCTTCCATCTACCGGGGTGGAATGTGACCTGGCCAGGTTACAGACAGCTATATCTGGGCCTTTTGGAACTTCCCCGCAGGGAGGAGGGGTGCCCTTCTGCTTGAGATTTGCATAGCTCCAACTTGGCCCTCTCTGGCCCTCAAAGATGGAGTCAAGTGTCATCCGGAACTGTGAAGTGAGGATGCTCTGACAGATGCATTTCCTTTTCCTCCCACCTTCCCACTCCAATGCCAGGAGCCTGGCTGAAAACGGGGAAGGCTCCTCTGCACTCCGTTCTAGGTCCCCAGGGACTGGGTGGGACCAGAACCAGAACAAATGTCCACAGAGGGACATCCCCTCTCCAGAGCCAGCCCTATGCCAGAGGCACAGGCAAAGAGAGGGCTTTCCATTTCCCTCCCTCCTTTGCTCGCAGGCAATAGAGAGAAAAGTGGGTCAGGCAAGCTCTTTCCTCCTGCTGGTTGGGGGAGGGGAGGGGGCCATACTGCCGTCCCCCCAAGACCAGTGGGGCCCCATTAGAAGAGAGGGTGGGGAAGAACAACCAGGGGTGTCCCCATGATGGCCAGTACCCCACATGTAGGTCTCAGGCCTGAGGCCCCTCTTCCAGGCCCAGAACAGTCTAGTTCAGACCTGCCTCTACGTCGGAGGACCGTGAACAAACATCCATTGTCACGGAGGTTCCCCCTGGACACCCTGACTTCAGGGCTACCCTCCGTCCCCAGGAAATCCCATCATACCAGTCAGTTCTCGGACAATCCACGGTTAAGTCAAAAGTCAATTCTATTGGATTCACAACAGGCTACATGAGTCCAGGATTGTATGCTCCGATTCCTCCTAGACCCTTCTCTGTCCTCCTGTCCTTTTCCTCTGGACCATTGCCAGCCTCTGTACCTGGCATCTCTAGCCATGGGGTATGGAGGAGAGTGGGGTGAATCTCCAAGGACAACTCACGTCAACAGGGGTTGATGGGGACCGGGTGGAGTTCCAGGTCTAGGCTGCAGGCTGGTCTGAAGCCCCTTGGACCAGGCCCCCCAGTAATGCAGCTGCCTGGTTTCCTCTCCTGCCAGACCATGGGACTGATTGCCCACTCTGTATGGATCTATTTGGAAAATGGGAGGCTGAACACCTCACTGAACCCCTCAGGCCTCAGTTTCTTCATCTGGAACATGCCCACAGGCAGTCCTTCGAAAACTCCCTGTGCAGGTTGTTCTGGGGACTACACGGGGCCGGTAGGTGCTGAGCAGCACAGATAATTCCTTGGCAGCTCCCGCCTGACCGTGGAAGGTATTATGCGATTCCTTTTCTCTCCAGTACTGTCACCTTCCCCCATTCCATTTCGCTGAGACTAATACTTAAATTGATTCACATTCCCTGAGGACACAGCGCGTGATGGGGAGGCCAGAGAATCGGGGTGGCCCAGGGACATCAGGCAGGACATGCGGACTGCCTTAGAGACCACCTTAAAGTGGAGGATGATCCACTCTAGGGAGAGATAAGGGGTCTGGTGCCTGGTGTGGCTCAAGGAGTCTCTGCAGGTGCATGACTGACTGCCCAGCAGCCACTGTGAGCAATGGGCCTCTAGCCAGGCTGGCACTGTCACCTGTGCTGGGCCCCAGCTGGTAAGAGTGCCTCCTCCCTGAGTCCCCAGTGGTCTCCCTAGCAGGTTCTGGCTATGTACCAGTGCAAGGGCCATGTCATTCCTGGGTATTCTACATGGACATCAGGTCTCCATCATGTAGCGGTCTGAGTTATATGGATCACCCCTGCTTGGTTGGGCACTCTGCAAGTTACCACACAGCTTTGCCCTTAGCCCCACTGTGGGCAAGTCTCTCCACTCTTTCCAGGCCTGCCTCTTCTCCAGCTGTGCTTTCTCTGTTACACATGTTCCTTGACCACATCTGTCTGGAGCCTGGGAAAAGTCACTGTACCTTGGGGGCTCTAGGACCCACTGCTTGTGATGCTGGAAGGTGGCTGGTCCTCCACAGAACAGTTGAGGAGAGAGCCTGGGGTATACAGCTGACTCCTGGAGCCTTGCTGAAGACCTCCTTAAAAATTACTGGGCTAGAAACACCACCTCCACCGCCCACCCTAACACAAGCCACAACACTTAGCCCAGCTCTGGGAAAACTGTTCTCTCAGGCCACCGTTCTTCCGTTCTTCTGACCCTTAACGCAGCCCTCTTCCCCACTTACTCAGAATACCCCCCCAAACATGTCTCATAACTAGGTAGCCAGCCAGTTCTACTTGCCCACCTGTCCCTTAGCCACCCTGCAACATGTCCCCATGCCTCCTTGTCTCTGCTTTCCTTGAGGATAGTATTTTACCTGTCTCCAAGTGCACGTGTTTCACTAAGCATGAATGCAAGCCTGGGGGTCTCTTTCTGTGTGTTCTGCGGCACCTACATGCATACGTGGGTGTCACACATACACATTTCCATGTGCATATATCTGTACATGTGTGTGTGCAATGGCTGCACTGCTGTGTGCACGATGGTGTGTGTGCTGTCCGTGCATTTGAGGTTCTGCTAGCCTGGGTCTGTGTTGATGAGCCTGTGCTTGTGGGCTGGGTGGGCTCCCTGAGCTTCCAGGAGCACTCTGAGCAGGAAGAGCAGTTAGGCTTGATAGGGAGCCACTGTAAGATGGGTCTGCCTGGTGAGACCAGCTTCAGCCCTGGAAAGTGGACTGCAGCCTCCTCGGTACAGCATCCTAAGGAGAATCCACACCAGGAGCTAGGGTGTATGAGCCCGGACCCCTTAGTATCTGGTGGGACTAAGGAGGGTGTAGGTCGGCAGCCCTGGAGCCCCTCTCAGCTCTGGGGGGTCTCTTCCATCACCAGAAGTCACTTCCCAGACCCTTTTGGTCCTGGTGATTAGTGCCCCTCCCACCTTCCTGGAGCCTGAGTGAAAGGGCCACCTGGCTTTGACCCAGACAAGACCCTGTTCTGGGAGACAGCGTGCCTGTCTCTCCCAGTCCTTCCTCACTGCACCTCTTGCCACTGGTGCCTCTCCATTGAGCCCCTTCCCACTAGCCAGCTTCCGCCCCCACCCCACTCTCAAGGCACCCCTCAAATCCGTTCCCAAACCCCTGTTCTCTGGTCCCTGTCAGTTCTTGGCCTTGTTTCTCAATGCCCCCTTTTATTCAGTCTTCTGTATCTTGTCCCCGATTCCTGGATTCTTGCGTGTCTCCCTGTCTGCCCAGTGCCTGCCAGTTCGTTCTGTCCTAGGTCCCCATCCCTTGCCTTCTCTCTGTCCCCTCTCTCCTCCATACCTCGTAGCTCTTCTGTCCAGTCCTGTCCCCTTGCCCCTGGCGTCCGATTCTCAGTCCCCTATGCATCCTCCCTCCGCCCTGCCCGCGCCATCCCGAGCCCAGGCAGGCTAGGGTCGAGGCTGGGAAGTTGCGCCCCGGGCAGCGCCGCCCCCGCCCCCGCCCCGCCGCGCTGCTCACCTTCGCCGCGCCCCGCAGACACGCAGGTGGCCGCCGCCGCGGCCGTGACGACCCAGAGAGCGGGGGACAGGCGGGCCCGGGCGGGGGCCATGACCGGGCGGCGCCGCGCTCCTCGGGCTCGGCCCGGCGGCCGCGCGTGGCGCGCTCCTGCCTCTCCCGCACCCCGGCCGGCGCACACGCGGCTCAGCCGCACGCGGGCACCCGCGCCCGCCGCCGCCCCGGGCGGGGCCGCCCCCGCGCGCAGCCAATCAGCGACCGGGCGGGTGGGACGCCGAGCCCGCACCGCGGCCACCGGCCGGCAGCACGTGCACACGCCCGACCCGGCCGGCTCGCGCCTGGGGGCGTTGGCCCCACGCCACTAGTGGGTCGCACCGCACGCAGGAGGCCTCACGACCTAGGTGAACCTGAGGATGTCCCGGAGGACGCACGCGGGACGCACCGCCGGCTCTCTCACTCTTGCTCATGCAGTACCTCGCAGGGGACCGCGCGTGCATGCTTCTAGTTCATGGACCCATAGACAACTCAGAGCCCCTTGCAGTTTACACACCTCTCTGCCTCCCTCACCTCCAGGACTAGGCGGCCACCGAAGTTCAGGGAGGTCATACAGATCGATACTCCAGAGAGCTGGGCATCCTGGCTGTGTGGCCTTAGGCAGGTTTCTTACCCTCGCTGAGCAAAGCAGGAATCACACTGTACCTACACCCCAGGGCTGTGGTGAGAGTTAAGTGAAAGGGTCCAGGTAAGCTTCCAGGATCCCTTAAGAGCACACAGTCAAACTAGCGGTGGCTGAAATTCACTTCCTACTCCTCCCTCACCTGATTCCCCTAACACCCCATCCATCCTGCCCCGTCCATCCTGGGATGGCTGCGTGCTGGGGTGTGGGGGAGTGGGGGTGTGAGGGTGTCAGGTGGTGCAATGTTCCTTGAGAAAGACTCACCATGCCACTGTTCAGCACTCTGAGCAGCCTTTGGAGGCCAACTCCAAGAGTGAGCGCCAGTGAGGATGAGACCCAAAGTTCTTGATTGGCACAACCCTCCACCGAGGTCACACAGAATGACAACACTTGGGGAACACATGCATTCCTTATGCCGTTAGCCCCTCATTTCTGGCATTATAAATGCACCTGCTCTAGTTTAAGCCTCCCCCATCCCCCGGCCGGCAGGGAGGAGCTGGGAAGGAAACTAACACCCAGAGAGAGCCTTAGGTCCCCAGCTAGATGCCAGAGAGGGCTCCAGACTGTTTGGCTCCAAGCCCATTTCTTTACTCTGGATCATTATCACAGAAGGGGCAGGGCAGTTCCATTTCAGAACTCTCTCTAGCAGATTGAACTGTCTCAAAAATACAGTGAGCGAGACTCCTGTTACCAGAGACATTCAAGCAGACATCAAGTTAGAGAGTGTCAAGGTTGGGGGGGGGGGTAGAAGAGGCAAATTTCACTGGACCTTGGAAGATGAACTCAAGTACCTGTGTGAGATCAGCAGGCATCCTTGTGGTCCTTGTGGGAGAGTGACTGGCTCCAACTCAGTGCCAATGGCCACATGAGCTGGGGTTCATGCCTTTTCAAAAGCAGGTATATATTGGGATTGGTTTCCTGACTTTGAAAGCCAGAAGTTAAGATGCTACTGTAAAACCTAAGGGCGAACACTACGGGGAGTGGGGGGGGGGGTCAGCCTTAGCCAGCAGGACTAACGACAACTCCTCTGGTGGAAAAGCCTCACCTAGGAAGTTGTCACCAGGGTGTCAGGACTATGCAGGTCTCAGTCATAGCCCCTAGGGTCCCCCCCTAACCTAGTACTAACCCTTGCTGGTGGGGTGACATTGCTAGTGTCTGGGGACTTGCATCCCCAGGTGGTAGTGAGGCTGAGATGGCTTTGCTCACTATGCAAATGAGGAACTGGGGACACTGGAGGAACTAGGAGGGTGCCTGGGCCATTCTTAGAATTTGCTTTATTCTAAGTTCTCCTTAGCCTTCCCTGGGATATGGGAGCCCTGGAGAAGTGTTCAAATGTGCAATCTCTGAGAGTCTCCCTCCCTGGCCTCTGTTATCCTGGATATCCAAAGGAGGGAGGAAGAAGCCACTAAAGGTGCTCCATCCAGCAGGACCCTAGGCCAATGACACCCAGGTGGTGGAGCAGCCATAGGGCACTGGGAGGCCCATAGATGGGCTGGGGGTGGAGTCCTTCAGTCACTTGCACACTCAGACTGGACCCCACCCTCTTCTCACTAAACCCCTGCAGCCAGGCTCTTACCCTGACAGAGACAGGTGCGGGTGGGGAGGCTGGAGAGGACCAGTGACTGAAGAGCAATTATAGAGCTCTGAGAAAGATGTGTGAGAGGGTGTGGGGGGCGAGCTATCGTGTGATCTAGCAACTGAGGTCCTATCTCCTCTCCCTGATGTTTGCTGATCTACAGGAGGGCCAGCTCTGCACAGGGATAGCTGTTGAATGACCAGATGTGGCTTGCAGAACACTTGGCGAGGAGAGCTGAACACTCACTCCTCTCTTACTAGCACAGTGAAACAATCTGCAGAGCAGACAGGTCAAGGTGAGAAGGCTAGAAGGCTAGAAGGTGAGAAGGCCCGGCTGAACTGGAGAAATCTCTGGGCCAGTCCTCCTGGACCCACCTCCATCCTGGTTCACAGAGGCAGGGCTGGAGAGGGTAGGCTCTCCATAATTTGGGTGTCAATCTCCTCCATGCCTGGGAGGAGACTGAGATCTAGACAGAGCTTTTATTCTCAGTGTGAGACTGAGTGACTTCCCTAGGCCTCAGTTTCCATTTTGCAATGTGCCACCTGGGTTGTTTTTATAGCGTTGCAAAGAGCATGGAGGAGCCTGGCATTGGCCCTGCTCTGGGAAGGGGCCTAACTCTTGCCCTGGAAGAATAAAAGGCCAGAGTGGAGGCAACCCAGCATAGAGCTACTTCCATAGCCTACTGCTGTCTACTCTACAGGAGACTCAGGCTACATCCTCTACCCGAGTCCAGGCAAGAACACTTAAGGCAGTGTATGCCACATATGTGATTCAAACTTTTCTCCAGTATCACATTAAAAAGTAAAATGAAATATGACACAAGATATAAAAATATATGTATAGACTGGCTGTTGCCTGGGATGGAATATTAACTAGTCAATCTGTTCACTAATTCAGCCAGCCTGGCAGGCACATGTCTGTAATCCCAGCCATTGGGAATTGATAGCAAGAGGATCAGGGGTTCAAGGTCATCTTAAGCTACATAATGAATGGGAGGCCAGCCTGGGCTACATGAGAGACCATGCTTCAAAACAAAACAACAAACCAGTTTGAATAGTGAATCAGCAGTTGTTTGGGTCCTTCTCTGAGGTGGTGCCAGGGCTGGCCTAAGCTAAAGGGCTACACAGGCCCAGCTTCTGTTCTTGCTGAGATGTTTGTGTAACCATGAAACAGACAGACAGGCGAGCACCAAACTCCCTCCCACATAAGGGGGTATTGCAGGCGCTATCGTCACCAAAACTTAAAATCAAATTTACAATGTAAAAATACATATTTTTAAAGTCTCTTGTAAGCATAAACGTTGCATGCAATTTAGTCCTTTTTGGGGGGCTCAGAGTCAGCCTATGAACAAAGAGTCCTTGGCTTTATCCAGAGATAAGTTAGCCTGAGCCACTGCATGACTATGTGGTGGAGTAGGAGTCCTAGACAGGTGCCCTTGGGGACACTGAGGTGGGTAGACTGACCTGTCCTCCAGCCGGTGACCCTGCTCTCTACTCCTCACAGGCTGCCAGTTGCCTGCTCCCTCTCCTGCAGAATCTCCTCCTAAATTGTGGTTTCTGATTCACTGCAGGCTTTAGTGACCATCACTGATGTTAGAATTACACGTAAATCAGGAGTCTGTGGGTTCCAAGCAAGGGACTTCCGAGGAACGGAGTTGGGAGAGCCAAGGCTGTTTGCAGACCTCCGTTTCTTATCCCAGGCTTTTCCAAAGATGTTTGTTCTTAGGATATTGGTCTTCGGGTTGGAGGGTAAGAGAGGTGATGTTATAAATACATAAGAGGTTTATTAATGGCTGGGCATGCACAGACTAATTGCTTCTTCCTGTTTATGCACAATCAATCACGTCTATGGTGGGAACCACTGGCAAGCGCAGAATGGATCAGAAAGATGTCCAAACAGGGAAGCGCCTCAGCCGCTCCATCCTTCAAGATGTTCCTGTCAAAACAAAACAACAGCAAGAATGGCCAACCAAGGCATGCTTCCCTGTCCCACTGCCTTCTCCCTCTCCTCCCTTCCAGCAGATGTGGATGGGAGGTCCGTTCTCTCTATGTCCAGCTCTCATCCAGCCCTTCCGTCTCCTCTGCTCAAGTCTCCTCTCCCTGTGCTCCATTACAGCCTCCCCCATCCTCAATGCCACATGCCATGGCTGATACCCCTGGTCCTCTCCAAGCTACACAAGCCAGGAACCTGAACTTGGTCTCTCATCACTCTAGGACCACTCACACCTTGTGATGAGAGCACCACATGAGTCTGGACCACTACTGTATCCCCATTTCCTCTCTGCTGCCTCTAGCCCCCATTACCATGTTGTTTCTATGTTGTATCACTAGATGTGGGCATACTCTCTGGGCCCCTCGGACTACTACTCACTGCTCAAGATCATAGTCATTCAGACCCATATGCTCATCTCCCATTAGAGCCCTGTGCTGATAGAGGTCCTCCCCTTATGGCTCCTGCAGGAGCTCTGTGCCAACAACTCATTTCGGGTCTTGTCTTAGGCACTGCCATTGGTACTGAGCTCCACTGGGACTTTTGACTGTATGAAGTAACTCCTCCTGGATTGGCATAACCTCTCCCTTCTGTTCTTGCTGGACCTCAAGACAAAGAGGTCTCTTATCATAAGTGCCTGGTGCTGTTTGGCCATGACTCCCTTTGAGACTTGAGACACACCTGCAACTGAAGGTCCGCCACCAGGTGACCCTGTGACTCTAGGCATATCACTGAACTTCCTATCTGGGGCTCTGTGCAGCCAGGGGGTGGGGGTAGCTCCTGAGGACTTTCCACATCTGGAATCATGTGACAGCTCATGCACTGTTCTTATTAATCTTAATAGCAGCCCTTTGAAGTGAGTTCTATTCTTATCTGCATTATCTCTATAGAAATGAGAACCGGGTGGGGAGGGGGTGACATAACTTGTCCAAGATGTCACAGATGTTAAGTGGCAGGCTCAGATCTGCCTGGCT